GGCAAATACAGAAACTTGATCTATAGTGTGAGCTGAAAGAGGCAGCATGCTGCTGTGAGCCTGCAGCAAAGTCTGCAGAGATCTGCCAAAATCTGTGTGTGGTAAAAACCTGTCGACGTAGCAGCATGGCAATAATCCTGAAAGTGCTGTTAAAGCTGTTAAAGCCTGGTTAACTCGCACTAATCTGGGGAACCATGTGACCCTTATTGGAAAAGTGGCTCAGGAAATAGATGGATGTATTCAAACATGATCAAGTGATCGGTTCTGTGGCTGTTATCTAAAAAACTGAAACTGTGGCCCAACAATGAAGGTATGACTCATGTGTGGTTGTGGATACTGAATCCTGACGGAGTCTCACCTTCAGGTTCTTGGAGGTGACGATGACTTCTCCAGTACGGTTTGTGGTGAGGCCGTGAGCGGAGGGGAAGCTTCGGCGAGGTGGAGGCGGAGGAGGAGACTTGGAGGGCTTTTCTGTTCGATACTTGGCCACGTTGAGGTCCACTTTACAAATAAACAGATTTTTAGTATTTTAACTTTCATTTTGTTTAAATAACAACAGTTGCCTTAAGGTGCTTTATATTGTAAGGTAATATCCCCCCCCTCACCCCAGCTGGTTGGGGGTGAGGAGAGGAAGACGGCACAAAAGCTCAGATTTCTGAAACACAAACTGACCTGAGCCTCGATGCGAACCAGCCCCCTCCATGCTGTTCAGCTTCTGGGCAGCCAGCTGCACCTTTCCAGGCTGCTGGTCCCCGCTGGGTGTGGTGTTTGTAGTGATGGAGGTCGTGGCTGTGGTCCCAGCGGTCCCAGCTGCAGAGGTAGCTGCGGCGGACGTTATTGGGATGGTGATCTGGGGCTTCGGGGGCACCGCCGGCTTGTTTATGTGCCTGGCAGCGAAGTCAAGGTCGGGGATGGCTTTCATCAGCTCTGCCTGAGTCTCTTCCAGCAAGCGATTGATGTCCTGGGCGCTGAACTGGGTCAAGCTGGCACGCTTCTCCTCCCAGTCCCGCTCGGCCGCCTGACATAAATACAGATATAGACAAATGATATGCCCTAACATGCAAACTAGTAAGAGGCAGAGCTGGAAACAGATAACGAGGCAGAGCGAAGCAGTTTGTTTTCTAACGCTGCGTGGACAAGTGGAATTATAAACAAACTGCTGGCGTGTGAACACGGTCTCATGGAGGGATTTAAGTACCTTCAGATGCAATTTCAAATGTAAATGGATATTTGCCATCTGGCCCATCCTGACAACGTGCACATTAAGATTGTTCACACCAGTAAGATGAAGAAAAACAGTCGTAATGAGCAGCTCGTTACCAGTCGCACTTCGGCGGACACAGACTTATCAGGAGGACGCCGGCTCGGCAGCTCATCGAGGACTCGATTTCTAAAGGTCATCGTAGGCTGGATGTCCTGCTCGGGGCCCGAGGTGTCCGCGTCGCCGGCAGACACGGGCATCCAGTTGGCCAGGCCGGCGCTGGTGCTGAGATCGGTGAGGCTGAGAGGAGGACTGTTCAGGATGTCGAGATCAGAGGTACGACTCAGGTCATCGGCTCGTTTCTGCGGTTGGCTGGAGAGGTCCTCGGGGCTCTTCCACACCCCCTCGGTGACTTGTCTTTTAACAAAGGGGACAACAGAATAACGGTAAGGTCCTACACTATGTCATCAGCTAACACGATGAAGTCTATTGTCATTGATTAACCAGCTTTTATTACGTTGACCTTAAACTCTGGTAACGAATCATAAATGATCCAAACTGTTGCTGATTGACTGCAAAAACTCAAACATAAAAAACCTGAACTGTTGAACGCATAAAAAGGCAAAAATGGTGCCAGATTTAAGTTTGGCCTGACCATTTCTTTATGTTGTAAAACACTGCACCTGTAGAGGAACCTTCATTGCGTCGGACAGAAAGCCTTCAACGCATCTCAGGATGTTCCAGCAGAACGAGGCCCTTATGGTCTGATCCTGTTTATGGCTCAAAGCTGTAAATGTTGAAGTAAATACGACCCTGCTCCTGGTTTTTCCACCTTTGGGTCTGAATTAAAATCAGCTCAGGCAAACTTATTAAACCCAAAGCTCCTA